TGCCCTTGGGACTGGGAGGGTGCTTTTCCAGGGTTGCCCCTGGAAAAGCACATTGTCCCCGTGCCGATAGGCATAAGGGCCTCTTTCCCACGAGCCCTGAGGTGTTGGTTGTGGGGGTGTGGGCAGGGGGCTTATTCACATCATGGTACCCCTTTAAAAAAGGGGCACCCAGATGTGCCCCCCTTGTGAAAGAGTAAGGGGTACTTGTACCCCTACCCATTCACTAAAGAGTTAAAATAAATGTCCTGAATAGTGATGAGCCCTCGTGTTCGTTTTGAATTCGAACTTTCAAACATGGGAAAAGTTTGAATTCGAACTCGAACTCAATGCAAGTCTATGGGGGTAGAACTTTGAAAATCAATTGTCTCCATTTTGAAGCCTTATATGCAATTTCCTGGCCATAAAAAGTGTATGGGGAAGATGGGTACTGCCCTGGGGGACAGGAATCAATGAAGAAAAACACTTTTAAAAAATAAAATTTTTAAAGGAGCAGTGATTTTAACATCACTTAAAGGGTAACAAAAATTAAAAATTCCTTTAAATTTTGTGCCTGGTGGGTCCTCCTAAACTGCCTGTAAAGTGCCGCATCTGTACGATGTATAGAACCTGTTGCAGCAAAACTTACATTTCTAAAGAAAAAATGACTTTTTTTAACCCTTTCGCTGCCAAGCCCTCCGGAACATTTTTCAAATCAGCTGGCCAAGCCATTTTTGAATTTTCTGCAATTTTATACTGTTGGGGGGGGCTGCGGCGAAATATCGGGGGTCTAAATAGACCCCTGACATTTCCCTTTTGAAATAGAAAAAGAAATTGAGGACATAAGTCCTCAATTTCTTTTTCTGCAGCCCCAGCACTACTTTTGTAGCTCCATACGTCCTTGGCAGTGAAAGGGTTAAAGCGTGCGATTCCCCCTCCCAAACAATACGAGACCCTTTAGGTCTGGTAGGAATGTTAGGAAGGACCCCATTAAAAAAACAAATAAAAAAGTGTGTTAAAGTTATACCAGGCCCTTAAGGTCTGGTAGGAATTTTGAGGAACCCCACCCCCAAAAATGGGGGGGGAATGGGGTCCCCCTAAAATTCCTTAACTAGACCCTTGATCTGAGCACAGGCCTGGCAGGGCAGGAATTGGGGGGGGCGAGCAAGCACCCCCCTCCTTGCGATACCAGGCCACATGTCCTCGGCCCTGGGAGGGTGCTTTTGCAGGGTCGCCACTGGAAAAGCACCTTTTCCCTGTGCCGGAGGGGAGAAGGGTCTCTTCCCCACAAGCCCTGGGATGTTGGTTGTGGGGTGTAGGCAAGGGCTTAGTCACATCGGGGCACCCCTTCAATAAAGGGGCACCCAGGTGGCCCATTCACTAAAGGGTTAAAAATAGATTAAATAAAAACACCAGCCTTTAATCAAAAATCCTTTAACCTCTTGCCGTCCGCCCGTAGTAAAAAAACGGACGGACGGCACTGCAGCATCTGCGGGTTGCCGTCTCCAGACGGCAATTTTTTTCTGCTCGCGCGCGCCCCCTAGCGGGCACGCACGGGCAAAAAAGACCCGTCCAATGCGAACACCCGGTACCGGGTGTTTCACATATAGGCGATCAGCGGGTCCATAGCCCGCCGATCGCCTATATGTGCTAGTTCGCGGCAATTGGTTACAATTGCGCTACACATGTTACATATCGCCGCGAACGTCGCAGTGAGAGCAATCATTTTAGGGCCATCAATCACTGATAACACTAAACTGATGAGCGGTAACAGCTTTTAAAGCGTCGCCTAGGGCCAATTTTGGGCATTATCGTTTTTTGAGGTTTCGCGCACGCAATTTTAAGGCTTGACATGTTTAGTGTCTTTTTACCCGACGTGACCCCATCTTTTATATTTTACCAAAAAATTGGGTAATAATAAATGTTTTATCATTTAATATAGGGGAAACTGTTTTTTTTAAAAAAATTTCGGTAATTTTTCCTTAATATAGTAAAAAAATAAAACCCCCAGTGGTGAATAAATACCACCAAAAGAAAGCCTTATCTGTCCCCAAATAAGGGTATAAAATTCATTTCAGTACAGCGCTGCATGACGGAATAAATGTCAGTTAAAGTACCGCAGCGCTGAATACTGAAAAATGGCCTGGATGGGAAGGGGGTTTAACACCGCGGATGTCAACTGGTTAATTGAAAAAAAAAACAGAACAAAGGATTTTTGAGAAGTCCTTTATTTAAAAAAAAAAATGGATCAACAGATGTAATCCAGGGTCAATCACGATGTCCAGCATTGTCCGCGAACAAAATAAAAACCAAAACCAAAGATAAATAGAAATAATAGTTAAAAAATGACGACCGCCGTCCCGTCTGGCAACAGTTGAGTCACTAGAATCACTTCTATTGTAAAGCCGTGTAAACAGAGTGGGCCCACCGCCAGTGATGTACCAGGTACATCATTGGTTACTAAGGGGTTACATTATATAAATTGTGATTATAAAATTGTGTGTGATTATAATATCAGCTGATTTACTAAGTCAGTATATGTAGTATATGTAAAGAGTAGTAAATGTTTACTCACCTCCAGTGGCGACTCTAGGAACAATTTATAGTGGGGGCACATAAGATACCACAGTCAAATCTGGGGGGGCACTAATAATTTTCATTGCATGTCGCAACCGCTGGGCGCCGAGAGCTGATTTAATTGCGGATGGCATCTGCACCCTGCGGTTCCGACATGTAGTCAAACACCACCCACAGTCCTGAGAGTCCAAATTGCAACCCCCCTTTACCTTTATCGCAGGGTTCTTCTCCCCAGAGGCTGCTTTTTTTTTAAGTTGTGCGGCTGTGCGTGGCATTTAATTTGTTTAACTTTTTTAATTTGTTTATTTTATTTTTTTTAAACTTTTTTTTTTTTTACTTCATTGCTGGGAGAAATAGCCAGCCTGCTATTGGATATTTCAAATTGCAATGGCCAATAACAGGCTGGCTACTGCACCCACCCACTGCGTGCTGTCAATCAGCAGAGGAGGGACCTGAAGATTTCAATCAGGTCCAACCCTGTTGATTGACAGCTGGCAGTGGGCAGGTGCAATAGCTAGCCTGTTATTGGCTACTGCAATTTAAAAGAGCCAATAGCAGGCTGGCTATTGCGGTCAGCTGCTGGAATGAAGACAATCGCAGACGCCGCGGAGAGGTGAGTATACTGCAGGGGGGGGGGGGCTCACAGACTGTCGGAGGGTTCTCCTTACAGGCTGTAATCTGCAATCTATCACTGCAGCCTATTACAGTCTGTAGGGAGAAACCGCTGACAGTCTGAGGCTGCAGCGTGGAGAACCCCTGTCTCAGCAGATAACTGTGTGGAAACCGTCCCGGGCACAGTTATCTGCTGGGACATGGATTCCATTTCTCTTGCCTTGCGCTAGCGCCGGGACTGCCCCCACTGTTAGCGGGGGGGACACGGGGGGGGGCAAGTGATAACCAAGGGGGGACCCCTTCCCCCCCTGTAGCGACGCCACTGCTCACCTCTGCAGTTTACAGAAAAGTGATACTATGTTCATTTTCAGAACTCAGTTATGTGCAACAAATAACAGATTTTTGTTTGTATATGATTGGATGTTCGAAGTGAATGTAGGTTGACTTTATTCATTAAGCAAAGTAAACATTCACTTTACAAAGTTGAAATTTTCTACCTTGCTAATAAGTTAACCACAATGAATGTCAAAATCTAATCTCCTGACCTTCCTTATACTTGACTTACTCTTGTTTCAGCAGTCTCTACAGATGTGTCCAATAATAAAATATTGGCATGAAACATTATTTTATGATCAACTGATATTTTCAACAGATTGCTTGAATTAAATGAATACTGTCCTGTTTGTGTAAAGAACACACATCAATCTTTAATCAGACTTCTTTTCTTCCTAGCCACATGACCTTATTCTTTACCACTACACAAATCTGTCCTAATGTATAACATGGCTTAAGTATATTGCATAACATGCTATTGCCAATATGCTAAAATCTGATAAAAATAATAAATTCTTTCAAGAAGTTAATCCAGTGTTTGTGCTAGGCTGACATTTCTGTTCCCACCTTCATGAATAATAGATAAGCAAACATTTTGTCCTTCACGGTAAGGGAAGTTCTTTCTTCATAGTGATATTTTTTTCAAGCATAAAATATGGCCAAATCTGTGGAAATTACTAAAATGATCAGCTCAGAATGTAGCCTTCGTTTTATTTTTTACCGATATTTAGTTGGTATAGAAACACTTATAATCAGGACAAAAGTGAATAGCGAGTTCATATCTGTTATTCTCTACCAGTGAAAGATCTCAGTTTGTCTCCAAATTTATACCTACTCATATAGATAACACTGCAGGGGAGTGTAACATTTTTTTCTGACTCTGATTGCTATATAATTTTTTTGTTGATGTTGTCTCTTTCTAGCTTCATTTATTTTCATAAAACTAATTAAAAAAAAAACTGACAAAGGGTTCCATTGCACACCGCCAGCATAGAGGACATGGAGATATTAAGTGGTTCCAAAGATATGTAAAGTTTTACCAATACATGCCAAAGTTGCAAAACTGGATTCAGACATTATTGTTTGATCTTCTGTCAATATAATAGCACATTTTTCCAAGTATAAAACGACATATTATCCCATAATATACCATTATTTATAATGTCCTAAGAAACTCCTAAAATCTCTGGTAAAGGTTCTCTGTAATCATTGGTTTGTCAGATTTTATTAAACCATGTGACATTCCATTTATTTAACGTGTGATTTACAGCATATGCTGAGGCAGAATAGATAGCTCAAAGGTTAAACATAATAAAACTCATATATGATCGTCAACAAAAACAGCTACTTATATGGACCCTTTGGCTTATACCAATACTGGCTGTATTAAACACAAAGTTAAAACTGTAGATAAGCTTGTCTGTTTATTATGAAACAAATACCGGTATATATTTCCTGTACTTTACAACATCCATTGGTTTCTAAGTGAGTTTCAAAAATACCTGAGGTCTTGTGAAGGTCCTGCTCTTATATGCGGTGTCTCCACAGAATGCCCAAATACAGCTCCTTCTGTTCCTAAAAGAGACATATTCCTGAGTTAAACATGCTATCAGAAATCATTTTCTGATTCACAGTTAAAGATTATTTCCAAAAAAACAGTAAATATTTAGTTGAAATACATGCAAGAGACTCGTTTTACCTGCAAATTGATTTGGATTTCCGCAAATCCAGGTCTGACATATATACAACCTTATCAGCCTGCATAACCAGGTTGGTGATCTGAAGCCGAAGGAACAATAATACATAATTCTTCTTCTCTCTTTTTTTCAGAATTTTCTTTACTGGCTCATATGCACTGCAGCACTTCTATATTTGCCCCTAATGTGATCCCTACTGTTACCCTGATATGAGTGCTGCTTTGCATGGAATTACAGGACACTGCTACCAAGGCAAAATCAGGTACTTTTTTTGCATTTAATAATACATTTAGGCTCGATTAATAGATTTGTTCACCCAAAATTCAGATTTTTTTCTAAAGGGATGGCATTGAAAAAAGTTTAAATCTTGGGTGAAAGTTGTTTGACTCCTCCGTTATAAATAAACCCATTATTATTCAATGAATGCATAGCTACATTAATTTATGTTTTGATATCTACTTTGTGTCCAGTTTTATAATATTCAGTCCTGTATTTGTGCATAAATGCTTTGGATAGAGTAGGGAAGGGTTAAAGCTTTTGTCAAGTTTATATTGTTGTCTTTGTCCACTGGGGAGATTAATTTCTGTGGTTGTTCTGATTACCATTGTCACTGACACAGAGAGTAAGCCTTCGTTCACACCTGAACCTTTTGTAGCGCGTTCTACGCTCGACGAACGCTCTACAAAACGCTCAAAAATATAAATCCCATTGTATTCAATGGTCTTGTTCCCACCTTGGCGTATTTCCGCCCATCGCTAACGCGCTACAAAACGGCCCACACCTGAAAAGGTACAGGTACTACTTTGGGCCGTTTTGTTGTGCACTTCCATTGGGATACAGCCAAGTAGCCTTCTGAAACGCGCGTTTGTTGCGCGACTTTTTTATCGCGAATCGCGGTAAAAAAAACACGCGACGGTCGTGTACGAGACCAAAAGGAAAATCCAAGAATAATGAGTTGTCAGCAGAGCAAGAGGTGAAGGACAGGATAGGAAGTAAAGAAAAATCTTCACAGCAGGACAAAGACAACACACGTTATTTGTTGGGGGTTTGAACCCTCTCTACTCTGTCCAAAACTTAACCACTGCACCATACACTCATACAACCATACACTTTAACCAAGAAGTTCCATCAGACATCAGCCACATTCATAACTCAAATTTCCTATCCCACTTTACCCCAAATATATTTTCCGAATGAGATAGGGGTGTTGTACAGGCCACTAAAATACACTGAAGTCACTGTCATGTTTGTTCACCAACTTTAACCCCTTCGTGACGGGAGACGTACACTGTACGTCCAGCCACAAAGGGACCAAATGACTTGTCACGTACACTGTACGTGACGAGTTATTTGCTGCTTTAGAGGGCTGTTAATCGCTGAGAATCAGCTTTTAACATTCATTAATGGCTGCCCTTACTACAGAGGCATTCATTAATGAAAGGTTTAACCTTTTTCAGACACCCGATACCTTAATATCGGGTGTCTGAGAGTCAAAGCAAAGCAAACACAGATGCCAGCTTTTGCCAGCATTCTGACAGCTCGTATAGATCGAGAGATATCTCTCTCAAGCTATACTGGCTTTTTTTTTATGTGCATTTTGACATGCCATATTATTGTTAGGAAAGCAGTGACTGGATGACATTTACAATGTGGGCAAAAAGGGTTGCACCTGGTCAGCAACAATATGTATCCTGTGGCATTCCAAAGATGCTTAATGTGTATTAAAAGGCCTATTGTAATTAATGTGTAGGGCCTGTGCAGGACACATTCCTCACACAACTACATCACCACCAGCAGCTGGGGCCCGAGTTTTGGTGATCCTATGCTTGAAGACAGGGGTTGTTAAACAGGCTTCCTGTCCAGGCTATTTTTCAGTATTCAGCGCTGAGATACTTTGACATTTTTTCAGTCATGCAACGCCAAAAACTGAAATTAATTTTATATAATTTTTTGGGGCATATACTGTAGAGCTTTCTTTTGGTGGTATGAAATCACTACTGTGTTTTTTTATTTTTTACTATATAAATAACAAATACCACCAATTTTGAAAAAAGAAAACAACGGTTTTCCCTCATGTTGTGTTATGAAACATTCCGTCAGTCATGTGTGTGCCCGCAAAATCGCAAAAAATTACCATACCAAAATTGCCCATATGTGCTGCCTTAAAAGCTTTCACAACTGATAAATGTAGTTTTAACAATGATTGATAGCCCTAGAATTATTGCTTGCACTCCAAAGTTCGTGGTGATATGTAACATGTGTGGCGCAATCGTCATTTTAGCATCTAGACACACCCAACGTATTGATCCTTGATCCTTGCACAGGCCTGGCAGGGCAGGAAAGGGGGGATGAGTGAGCTCCCCACGCCATATCAGGCCACATGCCCTCGGCACTGGGAAGGTGTTTTTCCATGGTCCCTCTTGGAAAGCACCTTGTCCAGCAGGGGATTTTTTTGCATATGGGTACCCCGTTAATAAAGGGACACCCAGATGTGGCCTCCCCTTGTGAATGAGTAAGGTTACTTGTACCTTTTAATCAGATTTTAATCAAAAATCCTTTAATTGAAATAAAATCCCAACAAAGGATTTGTCTTTTGTTTAAAAAAAAAAAATGATCCAACGGCGTAATCCAGGGTCAACAACGTCCAGTGTTGTCCACAATGACGATGACACGGCAAAAAAAAAAGTAAAAAGTCTTCCAGCCAGCCCCAGACATATGAAAACAACTGGGTGGAGCCGGCCGTGATGTCATGGCCAGCTCGACCCAGTTGTCATGTAATGACAGCCCAGTGTCTTCAAATAACCTGTCATGGCTGGCTCCACCCAGTTGTAGTTTAATGACAGAACAGCGCCGCCAGAACATTTGAGGATGCTGTCTTTACAGTACAACAACGGGGCGGAGCCAGCTGAGCTCATTTATGGGGGGGGGGCGGTCTGCTTCACAGACAGTTTGCCCCACTTTGGCTGAGCCGAAGTATATATGCTCAGCTCGTCTGAGCCGGTCGCCTGCCTTTGGCTGCTGTATGGGCTACAGTCAATAGCCCGTACAGCAGCCATTCAATTCGACTGAACCGAAGGGTTCAGACGGCTGAAGTGAGTCGAAGTATCAGCCAAAGCTACGGCTGGATCCTTCAGCTAATTACTGAATAACCCTCATAGTCTTTTGGTGAATCATTGCAGGTTGGCATTGATCAACATTTGGTATTGATGATTATAACTCAGATTGGGGGGGCGTGGCTTGGCTATGGCGGCGTAAGGAAGCACATTGCTTGAGCTCTGCTATCACCTGGGACTTTTCATTTAACCACGGCATCCCAAAACCTAGTTTTTGATGTCTCAGAAGCCCAAACCCGGCTCTAACGACGACAGAAGCTCCCAGACATCCTTACAGCGATTTCTCTCCACACCAGCCGCCTCTACTCGCAGCTCCTCCAAGGGGCAAATGGCCCCCGAGACGCAAGGTACGGCCTCGCGGCCTACTACTACTCCTCCTCAACCCCGGGAACCCCCGGCCTTGCCGTCCGCCCCTGATCCCATCGACCTCGAACTCCGGAGAGAGGCCTCCTCTACACGCTGCTCCAGCCCCATCGAAGAACCTCGTCTCCCACTAACGAAGCCGCTGTCGCAACAACCCTCGCTATCATCTAGCGAAATCTCCGCTATCTTGCTCTCCCTCCCCACGCGGCAGGACATGGCCGCCATGGTCTCGCAAATGGAGACCGCGCTGAAGAGGGACATAGCCGGCATCCATGCATCCGTCTCTCACCTGGAATCATCTGTCACTGCCTTGTCCAACGATCAGGCGACTCTGGCCCGGCGGATTGATTGCCTGGAATCGGGTTCGGCCACGTATGAACGGCGCCTCTCCGACCTACAGCTCCAGCAGGATGACCTCGAAAACAGGTCCCGTCGAAACAATATCAAGCTACGCGGACTGCCAGAGGCCACGGCCTCGTCCGGCCTTCGCCCCACTGTGACTGCCATCCTCAACTCGATCCTGGACAAGGCCCCGGAGTCCCCATTGGAGATAGACAGGGTGCACCGCGTGGGGATCCCCAGACCGGACAGAGATGTGCGGCCCAGAGACGTCCTTTGCCGCCTGCATTTTTTTTGCGGAGAAGGAAACCATCATGCGCAAGGCCTGGCAGAAGGGCTCAGTCCCCTTTGACGGCGCGGATGTCTCCGTTCTCCCAGATCTGTCCCGCCGCACCCTCCATATGCGGAGGATCCTCCAGCCTCTCCTCGCGGTGATACCCTTTGGGCCCCCCCGCTAACAAAGTTGCGGGTTGTCATGGAGTCGCCCCTCCTGCAACGTTTAGATGTTGTTATAATTTTGAAATGTTGTTGTTACTGCACTTACTCTCATTGATGCCTTCCAAAGGGTTTACACTTAATTGACGGGGTGCCAAAGATGGAACCCTTTACCCTTAGCCTTATTATGCCCCAGATGGTAGCATCTCATGTACCTCCCCCACTACACTAATTGTGCCTCTATCTGTTCGTTGACCGTAGTCCTCCACCTCCCCCACATAGAACATCGGCTCTACCCCGACCCTTGAAGCTTCCTGACTGCTTCCCCGGGGTCGGTGGAGATCCGAATTGCTGGTGATCCAGCACTTTAGCTGCACCTAACCGCCCCCTTTTCCCTTCTTGGTTCTTTCTTCCTCCCCTTCGTACCTACCTCCCTCCCCCTTCGGTCTCTCTCCTTCCCTACCTACCTCCCCTCCCCCCCTCCTTCCTTGGCGCTCACCCCTCCTGCCCCGTAACCCCGGTGACATGTCTCGCCTTAAGGTCATGTCCCTTAACACTAAGGGCCTAAACGTCCCTGAAAAACGCACTATGATCTTGCGAGATCTCCACCGCCAGAGCGTTGACGTGG